GTGAAACCGGAGAGAGGCAATAGAAGCAAAGTTACAATGTAATTACTTTTTTTCCTTTATCTTTTATCTCTCTCCTCTTTCCTATTACATTTTTTCATATAAAGGAGACCATATGATGGTCTGCATTTCTCTTTTTTTGTTTGGGTCTTTTCTGGTTTTGGAACCAGGGTAATACTTGCTTCCAGGTATGACTTTGGGAGTGCTGCATCCCTTTCTATTTCATTGAAGAGTTTGAGAAGTGTTGGTGTTACGTCTTCTCTAAAGTTCTTATAGAATTTGGCAGTGAATCCATCAGGTTTTCTGGATAGATTTTTTTTTTCTTTTTTAATTCTTCATTTTCACTGACTGAGATATTGGCTTACTTAAAAATTGTTTTTACCTTCTTGGTTCAGCTTTCTTAGTTCATCTAGGAATTTATCCATTTCTTTTGAATTTTCCAGTTTATTACAGCACAGTTTCTCAAAGTAGTTACTAATAATCCCATTTTAGACAATTCTGAACTTGGGGATATTTTCCTGTGATATGCTTCAAATATTTTCAGTTTAGCTTTTACTCTTCAGTTTTAAGTCTGACCTCCAGGGCCACACAGAGGAGCCCATTTTTTCTTTTAGCCCCTTCTTTTCTGTGAGGCAGCTTGGGTTCCTGTTGGCTCTTCCAGCCGCCATATTGTGACTGACTCAGTGAAGCAAGTGGTCAGTGAGCACCTTGGGCTCTTTTGATTTTTCTCTACCGAAGTGCACATATCAGCTATCCCAGCTGGCTTCCAAGAGCTGTCTTTTCTAAGGGGCCTAACATCAAGTTTTAGGGAATTTGCCATCCTCAGAGCCTGTCTTGTTTCAATATTTCCATTTCTTAGCCATAGGGCATCAAGCTTGTACAGGGCTTGGAGTCGCAAGCCTCAAAGTCCTTAAATCTGCCTGTGTTTCTCCCCTGTATTCTCAGAAAATTGAATCTGCATCATACTTTTCTTCAAGTTAAGTTCCACATAGCTAGTGATGGGGAAAATTTAGATCTGGTGGTTTGCAAAATGGTATCTCTGTCACCTCATTGAATCCATGGAACAACCCAAAACACTGACGTGGGCAGGTGAGGGTGTGTCAGCACCATTTGACGGGCGACAGAGGCTGTGAGAGGGGGCAGAGGATTCTAAAAATTAGTGAGACCCCTGGGTCTTTATTGCAAAACACTTTTCCTCAACTTCTCAAGTCTCCAGAGTTGCATCTGAATTCACCTCAGCCAGCCTCAGGGTACAGACCATGGGAACCGATGCCCTGTGTGTCGCCATCCCTGAGCCCAAGGGGAGGGGGAGGCCGACAGCTGTGCAGAGGCTGGAGAGGAGATTGCTGCTGCAATCAGTGGCCTCCAGCCCCAAACAAAAGCTCAGGTATGGAGGCTTGGCTGTCCCTGACCTTTTACACACCCGGAGCCCAGCCACGGGGAGGAGGGGACAGCGACACAAAAGGGTCTGCAGCGTGACCCGGCCTGCCTCAGCTACCTGCTGTTCCCCACAATGGGCTCGAGGCCCGGTCTGCCTCGGGAGGCCAGAGAAAAGGGCCGAGATAATGACGGGCTCAGCTACCGCTGCTCTCTTCAGAGGACTGACAGGAGGGAGGCGGCAAAACCCCTGGGATGATAAAGAAGTAACAAATGAGGAGTGAAAGCTTATGGAAGACATCTTAACCCAGGGATTGAAAAAAGCGTCAACATCTGCGGGCTTTCTGCACCAGCGGGCCCAGGGCCTAATGAAAACCCTCGAAAAGCCATTCACAGGCGCAGAGGCGAAAAGGCTACATTTTTCTGCGGGGCACGGAGGGTCGGCCTTCCCTTTCCTTTGGGCTGCTGCTGAACCAGGCGCTAACGTTGGCGCTTGGCGTCATTAGTGAGCAGGCCATCTTTATCCCGGCTCTGCCAGGCGGGTGGGTTTCCGAGCAGGTTAGACGTCTGCCCCGACTCAGACTCAAGGAAGAAAAGCCAGAGGAATTAGAGAAAACGCTGTCGAACATGGGTCCCTTTTGACCAGAGCCTTTCGGAGGGAGCCGGCCCCGGGAGAAGTAATCCTCTTAGTGCAGGCTTATGTGTGTACAAAACAGGGAAATCGAATCTGAATGTGCTCACCGCGTTTGCTAAAATACCTAATGAAAACACAAAGATTCCTGGTTCTGATCTTCACCTTCCATGCAGGACGGGAGAGTGGGACAGTGGCAGATGTTTGCTTGTAAGGCCGACTTAAACCTGGAAGTTTGGGGTGGAGAAGGCGCTCACCCCGTCTTCCTGCGGGACTTGGAGCCCAGGTATCTCTCTGCCCTTGGAGTTCTGGCGGGCCTCACACCGCACCGCGGGTCCAGGAAGCGCCGCTGTGGTTTTGTTTCTTGAGTTTATGCTCTGTATTCTGTTGGACTGGGTCCCCAAGGGCTTAGGGAAAGAAACCTCAGGTACTCAGGGAAAGAAACTCTCAGGACACCCACACACCGCATCCTTACACACGAGCACAAAACCCCTGCTCACACACATGCACTCATCCACGTGCCCAGAGGCAAACACCTGCCTCTTCCAGGTATAAACCCACATGCACCGCACCCTAAAATCCGCGAGCCTCACACCCACCCCCCCCCTCACCCTGAGTCTGGATTATCTGAGACTTCCGGGCGAGCACCTTCCTACCTAGCTTCTTAAACCATGGGGGTTTTTAGGGCAAATGCTTCCTTTACAGTTTGGCTCTACAATGGAATAAAATGCAAGTGGGAATAAGTGAAACGTTTTGGGAGTCACCGAGGAGACTTTACCTCTGACCGGACAGGAGAATACACTTCTGTTTCTCCTTTCCCATGTCAGGGCCATCTGAAGTTCAGCACTGTCCTTTACTGTTGGGACACAAAGGGAACAGAGCTGTCCATCTTAGGTTGGCCCTGTTGTCCTAGGCTGCCACGGTAGGTAGTGAGCTCCCCAGCCCTCAAAATAATTAAGGTAGTGACCTGCGGACCTTCAGTCATCTGTGATCATAAATTGGAAGGGATTTCTGGGCCAGGTATATAGTTGAACCGGAGGGACATTAATGTCTTTTGTGATTCTAGTATTATTTTTTATTGCTACTAGTTATGCATTAGACAGTTTAAGAGCCTTACATAGATTATCGCCCTGAATTTTCACAGCTCTATGGTACAAACTCCCTTCTTGTGGCCAATTTGCAGACAAATTTGTTGCCAATTTGCATGGCAACCCAGGGCTGCCTGATACCTGCCTCCACCAGGTCTCTTGAGAGTACTGGGCTCTAAGTGACCTGTCCCTTCCGTGTGCGGTCCTTCCAGTTTCTCCCCACGTCCTCACACCTGTCCTCTCCCTTTCTTTGGGGAGGGGTGGGTTCCTAGCATCCGGTCCCTGCTGGGGAACGTTCCACATCCAGCACCAGGCCCGGAGCCATGGAGGTGGCTGGATGTCACACCTTGCCCGGTCAGGAGCTGACTCCCGGATGTACAGATCCCTGTTCTCAGTTTCTCCTGACTTTGACTTCCCTAGCTTCACCCCTCATTCTCTAGCCCCTCTCTGCCGAGGCGAGAACACTGCCAACCTGGAGAAATCCTTCCCCTGACCCTGTTGTGTCCACCGTGCCCAGTGTTCTGAGGTGCAGGAGAGCCATGGTCACAGACGAGGACCTTCAGTGACCCTCGGATTTAACTTACGGCGTGGAGTCTAAAGCTCTGTCCACACTGTCTTTGATTCTACTCTCTCTCCACAGAGAGGGCTCTTCGTTACCCTTTTCCTGGTGTGGACTGGGCTTGGTGACTGGCCCACCAGAGACTGGAATATGGGAGAAACGGTGGGGTGTCGCACCCAGCCCTGGCTTGGAGGAGGGCAGTAACTTGTGTCTTGAGTTCTCTGTCTCTCTCTCTCTCTCTCTCTCTCTGCCTTCCTCTCTCCCCCTCTCTCGGAAATTGCTTGCTCTGGGAAAGCCAGCAGCCACGTCGGGAGGCTGAGGATGGAGAGGTCCTTTCCCTGAGAAACTGAGGCCATCAGCAACCCCACAAGGGAGCTTCCCAGCCTACGGACAGCCACATGCATGATCCTGGGAGTGGTTCTTCCTCCAGCTTAGCCTTGGGCTGATGGTAGCCAGGGAGGTCACCTAGTGCCAGAGCCACTGGGCTGAACCCTGCCAGATTCCTGACCAAAGAAGCTAGGAGATCACAAATGGTTGCCGCTTTCAGCAGCTACATTTGGGGGCTAATTTGTTACATGTCAGGAGATAACTAATACACTCTCCAACTGTGTAGTTGGAGGCTCCGAGGTCACTTCCCCAACTCCACAAAGGACAAGTCACTCCTTGGAAGTTTCAAGTCAGTTCCTGAAATTAACTCACACATGTGACTTCTTGTCTGGCGTTCTTTCTACTACCCCAGACTTCTCCCTCCCACCCCCCGAATAAGCAAGAAGAACTGGACTTGGGAAACCTTTGGCTGCCGGTGAGCTCAGGCCTGTGTTCCTGGCGGTGTAGACACAGCTAGGATCCGTGATGACACAGGGCGGGAGGGACGGACGGCCACATAAGGGCTGCTAGAGATGGTGACGGTCCCCATCCACCCCTTTGCCCAGGACTGTGTCCTGGCTGCTGCAGAAACATCTACCCACTCATAGGACTTTTGAAATCCACACAGCACTTAGCACCCAGAAATGGCTGTGTGAAGGAAATGCAGTCTGCCCCTGTTTGTTTCACTCTGATTGAATCGAATTTTCTGGAAAGAAAGGAACCTGATGTCCTATTTCCACGTCTCCCTTATGAGTGCAGCTACCTGGCGCCTGCCTCGCTGGAGAATCCCCCCGGCCCCTGGGCTGTGGCTGGGAAGGCGAGAACCCCATCTCTCTGACCCCTTGGCTCTGACCCTGCCCTCTGGGCTGACTCCCACTGGAAACCCAACTGCGCCCTGGGGCCTGGAGCATCACAGCTCCCGGGTGTCCACCTCCGGCCGTTCTGTGCCCTCGGTCTGTGGAGCTGGCCGGCAGGGCCCCGGATGCCGCACAGCGTTGCCGAGGGGAGGTAGTGAGTCTCTGCATGTGGCATCCAGGCCTGGTCCACCCCGGAGTTACGGCAGGGCTGTTGTATTGCAGGCGGCCACACCTTCACCTGGTCCTCCAGAAGCCAATGGGGGCTGCCATCTTCATTTTTATGACCTTTCCAGGGAATGCTGCTACCTGTGAAATTGAAAACCATGCCTCCACTGTGCTCCCCTTGTTCATAATTTAGAGCTTTTAAGAAATTTAAATTTTAAGAAATGCCTGATGGGCAGCACATGCCTGTAACGTCTGCACTGGAGGCTGAGGCCAGAGGATCACCGAACGTTTGAGGCCGGCCTGGGCTACTTAGCGAGACCCTGCCTTAAAAAAAACAAACTAAACCAAATCAAAACAAAAATGCTCAAGGGGACTGGTTTTTGGAAAATTCTGGGGGCAGTCAAAGCTACCTGCGTTTCTCCGAGCCTATGTCCTCAGCCTCGGTCACACAGGGGAGGGCACAGCTTGAACCCTGGGGGCAGGGACACTGAGGGAGGTGCTGGGGGCTGGGCCTCGTGCTGCATCCTCCTGCTCCACCGATGGGGCCACCTCCAGGGCTCCCCGCTCGCTGCTCCAGGCCCACCTGACAGGGTCCCTCACTCTTCTCTGGTGATCGACGTGTCGCTGGTCGCGTCCAGGGCCTCAGCTGTCCCTGCTGTAGGGTAAGAGGTCTGAGGCTGTCTGGGGAGTCCTCTCCAGCTCTGGGGCTTGGGTATTTGCTGCAGATAGGGTCTCTCAGCACCCCCTGGCTCCACAGAGAGTGACCTGCTTGGTGCCTCCCCCTGGAAGCAGAGGATGAAGACGGCTGAGCTCAGTCTGGGGTGGGGAGCGGGGGCTCAGGCAACCCAGGGTGACATCTCTGTGGACATCTGTCTACTGTTGCACCTCCTTACTCCCACACAGCCTGCCCCCGATGAGGTGGGGCTGCGAGCGAGAACAGCCAGCTCCCGGCTTTATGGCTTTGCTGTGGGGTTGAGGGTGCTCTCATTATCTTGAGGCGTTGCCCCAGCGGCCTACCCGAGAGAACCCTGCTTGCTCCCTGAGTGATGTGATGCCGGCTGAGGCTTCCTGGGCTCTGGGATTTCCGGTCCTGGGGCTACAGCTGTTGTTTCTCCTCAGCTGAAGTCTCACCTGACTTCCACGGCACCCTAACCCTGACACATGACCCCAGTAGCCACTAGAGGCCCAGGAAATTCCCCTCTCTGTGCCCCATGAGGCTTCTGGGAGCCACCCAGGGCCAAGGGGGAGTTGGGATGCAGGGAGACGGGTGTGAGGGGCCCCAAGACACCTGCTCCCAGGGCTTCTTTGATAGAATCCGGGTGCCTGGGTTCTGGGCCCCCTGGGTTCCTACGTGACCATCTGTGTGATGCCACTTGCCCTGTCTGTAGCCTGGGGTTTGGCAGAGACTTTCCCACACCGTGAAGTGTGGTGTAGAACTGAGCGTCTGTGTAGACACAGGGGCCATCACGGTGTACTGTGGGCACCCTTATTTTCCAAAAGAAGTGGCGGAAAATTCAGAGACCCATACCTTTGCTTGCAAAAGCTTTAATTTTTTTAAGCAGTAGGGAAAAAAATGGAGAGAAAAGGTTAGAAAAAAAAAAAAAAAGGGATTGGAGCCAACAGTGCTGACTCGTCATCTGCCAACTGAAGGAAAGAAGTGAGTAGCAGAGGTCTGCTTCCAAGGGAGTTGGCGGAGCCAGGAGGAGGTGCCGCCAACCCCCCAGGCCCGGGGCCAAGGGCTTCCCGGGGCCAGTGCCCTGTGCCCTGCAGGCCCGCCTCTCCCTGGGGGTACAAGGCCCTGGCTTTTCCTGTCCCTGTCCTGCTGAAGCCTGGCAGGTCCCCTCCCCTGCTCCAAGGGATGGAGGAGAAGGGGTTGGGAACAGACCCCTCGGGTGGCTGGGGAGGAGCTGGGTCCTAGAGGAGGGCCTGGAGGGTGCCTCTCGCTCCCCCTACCCCTTTCAGAGCCGGCCCATTTTTCTTGGCCCCAGCCCTTATTTCTCCGGCCAGGTGTCTTCTTTCCTGTCACTATTTCCTGCCTTTCTCTGCTGTCCTCCAGCCACAATCCCAGCTGTCCTGCCTCCCTGGCCCTCAGTCCCCACTGCAGCAGCCCATCAAGCCTTGGGCACCTGCCTCAGGGTGCAGCAGGTGGTGGGGACCCGGGCAGCGGAAATACTGCTGAGTCAGAAGGTTCCAAAAGCTGTGCAAGCCCCAGGGAGGAGAGGAGGTGCGGGAGGAGAGGAGGTGCAAGCTCTGCCCAGTGGCTGACATCAACCCCTCCTGGCGACTACCAGAGCCTTGCTTGGGCCTTGCAAGCTCAGGTAGGAAGCGGCAGGCAGTGGGACCGACCTTCACTGCCTTCCCTGCAGTGTAAAGGGACGAGTGGCTGCAGGAGAGGCCTGCTGCGGGGACAGGGAGGGCTCGAGTGTCCTGGAGAGGACAGGTCAGAGACAACAGGTACCGATGCCCGCCTTGCACAGATGGGGGACCAGGCCCAGGAGGGGAGAGCACGGCTGAGAGGAGAGCCTGGACTGGCTCCAGCCCTGTGCTGACAGCCCTAGTTCCTGTCACCCAGTCAGGCGAGGCCAGGCCCGCTCACATACCGAGGGACCAAAGGTGTGTCGATCAGGTGACTGACCAGCGGGTACATTTTCTCCAAGGAAAGTACCGAAAGTCTGGCACAATCCGCTGCGCCTTCCTGCGTCCGAGGGCCGTGTCCATGGCTGCCTGGGGTCCGACCAGGGGTACGTTTCTGGTGCGGTCTCATTGCTCCAGTCAAGGTGGAGACTCTGGGGTTCAGGTCAAGGACAAGGAGGGCAGTGGGGGGTTCTGGGAGCCTGAGCCTCGGTGTGTGTGTGGGGTGCCCTGTCCGCTGGTGCCCTGCCAACCCCCCTGTCCTGACCCACACTGCTCGCCTCTAAAACCCAGCCTCCTTGCCTGCCCTTTGGTACCCGGCACCCTCTCACACCGGCTTCTCCTGGATGATCAACCGGGTCGGAATAGCCATCTTTGAGCCTTGTCCATGTGAGGCCTGCTGTGGCCATGCGGCTCCCAGCACAGAGCACTCAGCGATCGCTTGAGAAAACGTCTGCTAAATCCAAATGACCTCTTACCAGTGGCCTGGGAGCCCCTGACTCATGGACTGTCTGGCACAAGCTGCCTGGGTGTAATAAACCGGAATTCAGGGAGGCCGCTTGGGGTAAAACATCCACAGCATTTGTTCTCTTTAAACAGCCCCCTGCTTGCAAGAAATTTCCAGGCCGTCCCCTTAGAGTCGGTCCCAGTGTGCAGAGGTGAGAAACACTTTGCCCCAAGCAGAAGATGACAGAAGCTGGGGATGGGAAAAGCGGAGAGGAGGGGAGAGGAGAGCGGGAGAGAAGCATGTGCGCTGGGAAACCCTGTGTGCTCGCCAGGGCCCGGAAGTGCCCTAAAGCAAGCAGGGTGGCCTCGGGTGGCCGGGAGAGCCCTGTGTCCCTCCAAAGGTCGGGTTCAACAGCACCCCTGCGAATGGCCACCCTCCCCGCCAACCGGGCTGTTCCCAACAGAAAGTGTGATCCTCTCTGTCACCGTCACCCTGGCTGTGTCCCCACGGGAGTCCGTGTTCCCCTTATTTAAGGAGGAGCCAAATGAAACATGTCTGTGAAAGAACAGGAAGACGTCCGTTAGGAGAACGTGAACGGCAACCACCACGGAAAGCAGCGTGGAGAGTCCTCAGAAAACCCAAAGGGGAAGTTCCGTCCCACCCAGCAGTTCCCCTTCTACGCATCTCCCTGAAAGAGTTAAGGACGCCATGCTGCAGTGATCCAAGCCCGCCTGGGTTTACGGCAGCGCCACTCATAAGAGCCAAATCTTGGAAGTGGCCTCTGTGTCCATCAGCAGAAGAATGGACAAAGTGTGGCATTTACACATGGTGGGACACTACTCTGTCATGAAGAAGGAGAAACTTGAGTCAGTGGATGCACCCTGAGACCACAAGATTAAGTGAAATAAGTCAGACACGCGAGCTTAAATAGTGCATGGTTTCTCTTATATGAGAAACCCAAATTATAAATCAAGAGCAAAATAAAAGGCAGGTAACAGGAAATAGGGAGGTAGATCTTTCTCAGACGGGGAGGGGACGGAGAGGCAGGAGGATGAGGGTGGGAGAGAGGGGAGTTCAGATGCGTCGTGTCCAAAGACCAACTCCCACAGGAAGTGTAATCATCAGGCACTGCAGAGAAAGAAGTAATGCTGGGTCAGGACACAGTGCCCACGGGCAGGGCAGGCATCCCGGGGGACCCCAGGGTGACCCAGGAACCAGCTGCAAACAACAGGAAGAGCAGGCCGGTGGGGGCAGCGCACACAGCCCGCATTTGGTGTGGAGCAGAGCGTGTGGGAGGAGACTGGTGTGCGGGACGCCTTCCTCCCTGTCCCTCTCTGTCCTCTGCTTCATTCCCGGGTGACGTCCGACCACCCGCAGCATAGCTGGCCAGTCCCACTCCTGTCCACGGCGGGACCGACACAAACAAGATAAACCCTAAGCCGGCCTGTCACTCTTCATCTGCCTGAAGGGATCCAGCTCCCTCCTGCGTGGAGCTGCGCTTTCCTGGGGGTCTGGGCCGGGCCCCCTCTTAAGCTGAAGACAGGCTTTCCACCGTCATGACTCTTGGTTGCTGGTTTTCTTCACACCAACAGCTGGTCTGCAGCTGGCCATCTGCTGGCCGGGCTCTGGCTGATGGACAGAGGCTGTACAGAAGCCACGGGTCCCGGCCCTGAGAGTCACCAGCAGCCACCCCCACACCTTCCTTCCCCTCTGAATGCCGGTGCCTGCAGGGTGGGTTTTGGAGGGTGAATGACTCACACCAAACTCGTGAGAGGCAGCCGGGGACCACCTAGCCCTGCCAGGCCGGTCACATTGCAGGCTGGGTTCTTTTCATGCATGCGCTTGTTGATCCTGGCACTTTGAAGGCCACATGCTTCATGGCAGTGTGCGTGTGGTGCCTCTGAGGGCCCCATTTGTCTAGTGAGGGGAGAGAGACACACTTTTCAGGGGTAACAGGTGATGTGGGAACGGAGCTATCATAGTGCATCGCACTTCCGGTTCTGGTGACACCCAGCTGGGGTAATGTGTGGGAGACGCCTTCTGTAAATGTCCCTCTCCACGCCATCCTTCAGGAGTCCCCTCAACAGCAGCTGCCTGGACCCGGCTATCACCCTGTCACCACCCTGCCCCAGCTTTGAGTTTCTTGGAAATATGGCTCCCCTGGTGTCCTCTAAGAAGCTGCTGGTCCTACCCAGTGAGGAAACGGAGGGCACTCCAGGCTCCTTCAGGTGCATCACGGGGCTCTGTCCCGGCGTGGGCTGTGTGCCCCTCAGGGCCCAGGACCGCCCACATCTGTGTCCAGCAGCTCCTCTCCCCCTCCCTCCTAATCCTGTCATCCAAAGCAGCAGCCCTCATATGAGCACTGTGCCCTTCGTGTCACACTCATCTTACATGCTGAGGCTTCTCGACAAGCAGGGCCAGGGGGAGACTGAGGCTGTGTGTGACATCTGTGTCTCACGAGTAGAGAGCAACATGACCCAGGAATTAGAGCCCAGCGTTTTAGGCCCAGGGCGCCCACACAGCAGGGGCCAGGAGCCTGGCAGTGCTGGCTCTCCTGTGCAGCCATTGCAGTGCTGAGCCCTGGGTCTCGGCTTCCTCCCTGCACAAGGCAGTGGGCGAGGAAAGGAGCATCTGTGATCCTTCTGCTGCTGTTCCCTGGCACGGAGACCGGAGCAGGGTGTGCCCACCCAGCCTGGCTCTGGAGGGGACTGAGGGCGGTGGTGGCCGCTCGGCTGGCCACCCTCCTCTGTGCCCGGAAGCCCGAGGGCACAAGGACTGGCGGCCTTCCCAGAAAACAGCTCACTGTCTGCCTGTTCTGCCCTTGAGTGGGGCCAGCTCTGTCCCATGACAGGATCCGGGCTGTGGGTGGCAGGCAGCAGGCCTTCCTCCTCCTCTGAGACCTGGGAAGGCTTCCAAGCCAGTCCTCAGGCCGGGTCCCCGGGGGCCTGTCCCCAGGACCCAGGTCCCCTAGGGCTGTGTGTGGCTGTGTTTGGCTCCTGTGTCTGAGAGCTCAAAGGAAGGACTTTGTTTTTGGGGAGGAAGAGGGCAGGGGTCGCCTTCCCTTCCCGGGAGAGAGGAGCTCCCAAGTGGCCTCTCTCCAAGGGCCCCTGCCAGGGCAGGGGTGACACCGGGGCCTGCAGGCTTCTGCGGTTTTGTGGGCAGGGCTGCAGCCCCGCCCCAATGCCCTGAGCCACTGAGCTGTGTGGCTGTGTGGGTGGGGAGCTGGCGGCGGGGGAGCTTGCAGCACCCACAGTGCTGGGCCCCTCGCTCACCTGCAGGTGTGATCTAAGAGGGCAGAGTGATGGCCATAGTCCCAGCCTCGGGTCGGGCTGCCCCGCGTTTGGGTACTAGCGTGTGTGTGTGTGGAGTACGGGACAGCAGTCTGTCCTCATGACGGCCCGCGCTGGGTGCAGGGAGGGCAGCTGGCGGCGGGGGAGCTTGCAGCACCCACAGTGCTGGGCCCCTCGCTCACCTGCAGGTGTGATCTAAGAGGGCAGAGTGATGGCCATAGTCCCAGCCTCGGGTCGGGCTGCCCCGCGTTTGGGTACTAGCGTGTGTGTGTGTGGAGTACGGGACAGCAGTCTGTCCTCATGACGGCCCGCGCTGGGTGCAGGGAGGGCGCGGGTGGGTGGGGGGGAGGGCGATGGGCCAGCAGTTCTGAGCATGGTGCTCTTAAAAACCTAAAAGCAAACAAGGAAAAGACCTGGTTTTAGTTTCCAGTCCCACTCTATCATAGCCTCGTGGCCAGAGACAGACGCAGTTCTCTCACCTGCA